GCCTAATGCTGAATAAAAGCCTCAAAACAGTAGATTTTTTAGAAAAAAATATGCTATAGACGAAAATGAGAAAAAAATTCTTTATGGATTTTCATGCACAGTTTATAAAATTGGTTAAGATCTTGTCTCATTAGGAACATACGCAGAAAAAAATATTAATTTCTTGTTTATGTTTTTGCATACTCAAATCATTACATTTTGCTGTAACTCTTTTTTCCCTACTACTTTTATATTTCAATATTGTTATTTGGATTGGAAAGAACTTTTTTCCGTGGATATTGCATACTTCTCCTATACGTCCGGGACTGGTCTGATAGTTTACATTATAAACTCGTATGGCTAAAATCCCTGTCTACACAAGAATTATTTTGAATGTTTACTTAAATTGAAATGAAGATGCAGTCCATGTGTAACGAGAAGATCATTATATGGATTTCATGTGAATCTATTGTGTATGATGTTCATGTTATTTGTTAAGTATGGTATCCATGATAAATGAAATGTCAGATGTTCCAAAGAACTGGGAAAGTTAAATGCTAAATACCTAATGTAAGTTTGAAATGCGTATCCTAAAGTTAGAACGAATGAGTTAAAACTTTTAGATTAACGACTGCGGTGAATCATTATTTGAAATTCATGTCAATATTTCCTGTAATGTGTGACGCTTATGCAGGATTTTATTCGCGACGTATGATAAATGTCAAATATTCTCAAAAAGCTATAAGAGTTCAGTGATAAAATTTGAAATGCATATTCTTTTAGCTTAAGTTAGAATGAATATGTTAAAGTACTTTGAGATTCAAAAATAATGATATTCCTGATTGAAAAAAAAAATTCCAAGTTCGGAACTTTTTATATTCCAAGTTGAGAAAAGAAGACAAGTTTTCATTTCCATGTTTGAACATCAATTCTCTGAATGTCAGACTTTGTTTTGAGTTCTCTTTCACAGATCTGGTTGTAATTCGAATTTAATAATACGTTACAGTGTGGATATTCTTCTCTGTAATTAAAAGTAATTTGACTTCCAAGCACTTTTCTAAGAAAGTAAAAGATGAGTGTGAGTATAATAGTGTTGCGAGGCTATGCCATAGATGGTAGTATCCTGTTAAAGATCCGCATGTTGCATTCAGATGAAGAAATATCCAGTTTTAGCGTATGTTTAGTGGTTTAAAGGGGGAGAACAGTTCTATATCTCCCGTTCTACTGGGCCAATTGATAAAATTCAAATTGCGTTTTTCATGTCTCAAAAGCGCGAATGAAGATATATATTAGATTTAAAAGAATATAGTAAAGTTAAATTAAATTTAAATAATTCTCTTGCGCCATTGCTGCAAGGAATGAAATTTGAATTTAACAAATATTCTCTATTTCAAAAATAAAAAATTAAAAAAATGTTTATTCGAACTTTTAATTTTATTTTAAAAATTGTTTTCAAAAACATTTTTTCGAATTTTTACATACTTAGCAGTTTGCAACATCTATTTTCACAAACAGTAGCAGTTAACAATTTGTACAATTTTTTACACATTTTTACAATGCCTCAAAGTCAGCAACATTTTTGCACACAAAACAAGCATTTTGCATTTTACATTACGTAAAGTTTACAGCAGAGTTTTTTACAATAGCTCTCGGAGGTAGCAGCTTAACACTCAACTTTACATTGTATTAGCGCCTTCTATTTATACAGTTAGCAGTAACAAACTACTCAATCTCACTTACTTTAGCAAATGCTAATCCACTCTCAGGAATTCAAATGTCTAGTTCTAGTTAAGTTAAATTAAAACTTACTATTTACTAGCCTTTTTAGTAATATTTTATATTTACTAGCCTTTTTAGTAATATTATACAGTATTATTTTTATATTTTGATGGATTGTGTATAGTTTATTTTAAGGTTTAGTACATGCATAATTCGTGTAGGGGAAGTTTTCAAGTAGGCAATAGAGTTTCGAAATTACTTTGGTTTTCTAAAAAATTTGGCTTTTTCTCTTAATTATTTTGACATTTAATAAATATTTTAATTCCTTAGTCATTTACATGCTAATTTCTCAAAATTCCTACTAGTTTAAATTTTCTTTTTTAGTAAGCTCACAACATTTGGTTTTACTTCTTGGTTTTGAATTTTACTATATCCTTGCGCCTATATGGATGACGAAACACAAATTAGAGTAATTGAAGAGTAAGGTTTGGAGGCAACTTCCCCTTGATAAGTATGTCTTCCGCCTGCTCAAGCAATTATTCACTTATGCAAATTAATTTTGTCTTAGAAAATAAAAATTTTTTTTTAGAATTATTTTTTGGAATTATTATTTAAAAATTTATATTAGCTTTATACAAATAGAGAATATTTATTATATTTATATATAGCATTGTTCTAACATAGGTATATTGTTACAAAATCGGACTTTTTCTATAACATACCAATTTTTCTTCCATACTTCGATTCTACGACTCAAATTATGCCTAGATATTACATTTTGTAAAATTTGTTGCGAAATTTACGGAGAAATTCAAAAATTTATCTTGGCGCAATTTGTCTGGCTGCATGTTTGGTTTTGATATTTTTCCAAATGTATAGTTTAAATACGAGCCAGCTCCTCTTTGGAAGTCCTACCTCTAGGCAAATAGCCCTCATGTCCTTTACTGTATTCAAATAACCTAACTTAGCCAGCATTGTAAATTAAATAAAAGAAAGAAAATACTCTGTGTTAATTCATAATATGCTTGCAGTCATACGTGTGATAATTTCAGAAGCGATAAAATTAATTATTTAATACTTTTGGAGTAAATTAAGATAGTTAAGTGCATTGAAATATAAAATAAAATAACGTAGTTTTAAAGCTTATTTGATACAATCAATATACTTAACAGCATATTTTACTACTTTAATACTATGGTACTGCGTTGTAAAAATCTCTTACATTTAAAATAAAATAGCACAATTAACGGAACTTTCCACAACAGACAATGCAAGAAAACTCGTTTCTTGTCAAAAATGATAAAAAATATTTCTAATAAAACTCTTTTGGCTTAAGCCAAAAAAAGCTGATAACATCTATTAAAAGTTTTAAGATTAAAAAGAGATAAGAGTTAAAAAGTTATTGAAAACATAAGATAAGAATGACAAGGGAAAAGAAAAGTAAGCGAAAAATAAAAAACTTGATAATGCTAAGACTTCTCAAGAGGAATGACATAAAGGAAATAATGCGCACGTTAAAAGAATTGCAGCTTAGTCGAATTATGTGCATTATCAGTTAACAGTATGTTGAAGCTAAAAATACACCAATTAAATTATACTAGTTACACAAAGCCTATTTATCATAACTATATTATTTATCAAAAGGTGAGACGATACAACAACTTACTGCATCTGATATGTAAAAAAGGAGGTTTCTTGTTTAAAATTAAAATAAAAGATGGAGTCTGCAAAACATCCACAAAAAATGAGTCGGAAATAAGTAAACAGCTGTATAAAAAATGGTATTTTTTAAACATATCTGTAAATTCTTCTAATACCCAAATATAAGTACCTCTTTTTGTGAAATCAGACATGAAAAAAACCAAGGCCTATTTATATTTATCATGTTTAAAATGCGTTAAAGGTGCATTAAATTTTATTTTTGTATGAAAAGGGTGTTTTAGAATTTCTAATTTGAGTTAAAAAAAAAAACCTATTTTGGTAGCTGAAAACTAATTCTGTGTTGATCGATATGAATAATCTTCTGCATGAATAAAATGCAATAATTGTTTGTGATAAGTACTTTCATAAGTACTTAATTCACTTTGTGAACTGTTGTTTTGGGTATCTGGAGTCTCAAACTAGCTTCCAAAACCGAAGGTGTTTTCCAGCTTGAATAATCGTTGAATTTGTTCACGTTTGTTAAGGTCTATCATTGGCCTTAGTCTTCTTACTTCGTCATATATGGATTCAGTTGTTTTAAATTTGTTCATAAGTTTACTAAGCGCTTTACTTTTCGAGTACGGATTTATTAATTTTGCTTTGAAATTTTTCTCTTACGCCCGGTTCTACTCTTCTGATACGGAATTTTACAGCAAAAATCTAATAAATATCATCAAACGAATAAAAAGCAAAATAATAAAAATTTTGGTTTCAGAACATCTTTCGCATATAAAAATAAAATTTAAACGTAATAAACATTAATAAACCTCATCTATTTGTGTGTGGGGGATGGGTGGGTGTGTGTGTCCGATTTTAAAAAAGTAGATACTTTCTTTACTTTTGAGGTACTCTGTGTTTAATGCTTAATAAGTTTGCCTTTGGTTTTAATAAATGTTTTGCTTTTAATAATTGAATTAATGGCAGATAAGTAAGTAATAAATTAAAATACCGGAGCTCACCTTATTTGGGACTCCAGCTTGAGTTATAATTTCACTCAAAATCTGATAAGTGTCATAGATGAGCTCCGGATAATTAAGCCCTGTCTAGTGGATAATTTAAGCCTTACCTAGTGTAAATAGCAATATGCAAATGAGAGTTACCCTAATTTTTTTAAATGCAACTAAGAAAACCAGTACTATTTTGATGTAATTGTAGTCTGTTATTTTAAAATAGGCACTTCAAAGACATTACCAGTCCCCAGCCCTATCTGCGATCGAAACTCGTGTTGTTGCTTCACAGCGCTTGTTTTCCACACGTCATTTGAGACCTTCATTCGCGCGCTTTTCGGGAAGCGAAACGCGCTAATCGGGAATGAAGTGGGAGAAAAAAATTAGAGACTCGATACCTTTTTATTTTCGCAGCTGTTGTTCCCATGATTACGGTAATGAATTTGACTTTTCTTCTGCTTTCCACAAAAAGTGATGCTAAATGTCTAGTTGACATATTTGTGGCTACTGAACAAGTGCGTTTTTGCGGAATGATTTAATCCTGAAAGATCATGTCTCTTTTCTTTCAAAATGCACCGAAGCTTTTTATTTGAAAGTAGTGCTAAATAAAAATTGAGCCTTACTTATATTAATATTCATATTTATTTTGTATAGTTCCGCTGATGACTCGTCCAAAAAGGGGCGCAGAAGTTCTATTGTCGTCATTCCACCAATGCAGATTTGTCCTGGTGATCTTCTAGTCTACAGCAAAGTTCTCAGCCAAAGAAACACGTTATTAGGTAAATATAATTAGTGTTTTTTTTCTCAAACATCTTCGGGATGTTTAATATTTTCAACTCACGAATTTGGTGTTTTAACGAGGGAAAATGTCTTGAAGAAATTGCTCATGATCACTGTACATCCTCCAGATATCGCGAAATGCTTCTCGGAGCATCCAGACACATCCATCTAAGTACTTAAACACAACCTGGGATCACCTTGGTAAATCTTCACGACTAAATATACAGACTTTATCATGTTAAAAGCCTATTTACCATCTCCCAAAAATATCCCCAGGATCTTCTCATACAATCACTACGCTAGAATTAAACATCCAAAGCTTTAGGATGTCGGTCATTAAAGGGTAGTTTCGGCACCAAAAAATGTATAAAACTTGTACGTTATGATCACGATTCACGTTCTATTTTATTCACGGAGTTGGAAGAGCATCAATTTAATCAAGAATATACTAGTATATCGAGAATCAATATACCATTTTCACGTAAAGACTCAACTTGAATAAGAACTTCCAGTTGAAACACAGAAATATTTAACGAAGAGCTTATGTACATTATTTACATTATTAAAAACACAAAATTTGCATATAATATAAATTTCCCCATCATAGGACCAAGATTAGTTTATCAAGAAGAATTATTATAATTGTTGATTACCGCTATGCGGCCAAGAATAGATCATTTCAAGCTTCGCACTCAAGCTAAACTAAAAGAGTTATTACATTCTTTCTCTGCCGCCAGTCACGTGACCTAGTTGGCGACAGACGATAAATAATAAAAGAAAAATTGGTTCCATCGGAGGGGAAAAGAAATAATTTCAACAAGTAGTAAAGAATATTGTGAAAAGTTTTTTATAATGTCTTACTTAATGGTATCTGACGAGTATCCTATCATAATCTGCTAAGCTTGTCTTTTTTATTCTGAATGAGTTTAAATCAGTATATTTCAATTTCAGTTCACATACTATATGTATATGAACTAAAATGTATATATCCGCTTTAGTATATATCAAAAACTACTTTTACTAATTTTACTTTTTATTAAGACAGATTCCTTTTTATGTCGAAATCTTCAGGAATTCAATTTTAAAACAGCCATCGTTAAGATCTTCAACTTTTGCAAGAATTTCGAGTTAAAAAAAAGTATCTTTGCATTTTCGCGTTGTATTCGCATATTCTCTTTTCTTCCACTAATACGTATAGGTAAGTGATGAAAATTTTGATTTGCCGTAGATGATGACGCCGTTATTATATTTTTTAGTATGTTTATATAATGCCTCTGGGGGTACTGTTGTTGTAGACCTTTTTTTAAATTAGTTTCAGTTATAAGGTATTTCTCCCACTTCCCTAGCGTGCCTTCGTGGTGTAACGGTAGCACGCTAGGCCGGTATTCCAGATGTCTGTGGTTCGATTCCCGGCGAAGGCGGTTGCATATTTTTCATCTTTCCTGCTTTTAATTAGCCTAATGTTTCTACAACTGGCACCCGAACTAAAAAGGGTTGTGGATGATGATTCTCCGCACCCAGGATTTGGCGACTAAGTCCCTAAAACCATAGTCGCCCTTTAAAAAGGGGAGTATATAAGGTATTTCTCCCACTTCCCTAGGGTACCTTCGTGGTGTAACGGTAGCACGCTGGGCCGGTATTCCAGATGTCCGTGGTTCGATTCCCGGCGAAGGCGTTTGCTAATTTTTCATCTCTCCGGCTTCCAAAAACCCTAATGACTCTACACAGTCATTTCCATTTAATACGTATTGCTATTTTAGGCATCATTCCTGAAATAAATGCTAGAAAGCACTACAAGTACGGTTTTCACAGCATTATCGAATAGAGTGGCGGTAGGCGATATATTCGCAAAATAGAAGCAAGCGTGGGAAGAATGTGTCGATTCTTCTATCAGTAATGCAGACGTAGTTATGCATTATTGATATAAGATTAAGAATAGTGAAGTTATGCTTTCGCTTTTTTACTGTTGTTTGCCGAAAATTTTGATTTGAGATTTCTTATTGTTAATCTGAGTAAAAGACTTTAGTTTTACTTTTGCTGTTTAGTATGCACATAAATGCCATTGAAGTTATATAAGAATTATATAATACTAATTAATTTTGAAATAACGCTCTTGATAATGATTTATTATAAGTATATTACTGTTTTTAAGCTAGAAAGGAGAAATAACCAAAATAAAAAAGAAGATTTAGGGAGCTATTAGAAATTGTGGCTAAACCTTTACCTTATATGTATATTTTACAAATTATGGCTAGAATTGTATCTTACGTATTTGTAGATTAAATTTTATGATTACACTTGTATGAATTCTAATATAATGTATTGTTAATTTAACAACAATTATATTCAGACGCCTGATCTATATTTTTACATAGGAATGTAATTTCTATCCGTTTGATAGCTTTGCTTGAGAATGCCAGTTCAATTGTAGAAGATTATCCAAAACTTTTATGTTTACTAATTACACTGCTCGACATTGAAATTGCAACACACAGAAGGAGTGGTTAGAAATTTATGCAAATTTTAGAGTAGACGCACGTCACTGACTTATGCGAATGATGTGAAATGCGTAGCTCTCCGGACGCACGTGAAGTAAGATATAAGGGAAGGAACGTGCAGAATGGACAATATTCGTGTCGTTATTTCTGCCAGACGAATTATCGAAGAAAGTTGTTTTTTGTCCCGGAGGATACGTGTAATAGGAGAGAATGCCAGGCTGCCGTCAACGAAGGCACTTCCAGCAGATAGACGATTTTACGAGGGGTATAGTGATCGGACTGAAAAGGGCGGGTTGGTCCTTACGTCAAATCGCAGCTGATACCAACATGGATGCGAGCACGGTGCATCGGCTATGGCGAATATGGTTGGAACTAGGAAATGTGGGAAGAAGGAGGGGTGCAAGTGCAGCAAGTGTGACATCAGCACGCGTGGATCGACGCATCCGCCGACAAACTGTGGCAGTCCCGCAAGTCACTTGTACGCGATTCTGCAGCATGTGCAAGATACCCTGGATGTTCCAGTGTCGACCAGAGCCATTTCCCGTCGATTGGTTGAACGACTCACGGCGTCCGTTAAGACTCAAGCGTCCATTAAGGCCTGTACTCACGGCGTCCGTTAAGAAGACTGCCATTGACCCCACGATACTTGGATAATGTACTGCCCAACGATACTTGGAACTGATACTTGGAAAATGTACCATTGACGGCCCAACGATATTTGGGTAATGTACTGCGGCCGGTGACAATCCCCTACCTTCAGGGGCTGCCTAATGCAATGTTTCAGCAGGATAATGCCCGACCACACTGTGCTCACATCTGCCAACATGCTCTGCAAGGTATACAGATGCTTCCCTGCCACCGTACTCTCCTGACCTGTCACCAATCGAACATATGTGGGATGTGATTGGGAAGTTTGCAAAAACATGCCCCTGCCCGTTCGAACACGAACGTGGCAAATGCTTGAAAGCGAATGGAGAGCCATCCCTCAGGACACCATCCGCACTCTTATTGACTCTATGCCTAGACGTGTTTCTTCGTGCATCGCTGTCCGCGGTGGTCCTACGGATAAAGGCACATATGGGTGAATATGGAAACGAAGTTGCAGATACTCTCGCCAAGGAGGCCGCTTTTGGAATTGCTGATGAACAAATTCACATACCTTGGCCGCATTCACATTTGAAATCTGCACTACGTCTCAAAGCAATCAGTAAGTGGCAAGAAGAATGGGATTATAGTACCACTGGTCGTCGTACTTATTACCATATTTCTTACGTTACACAAGATAGATGCTGTGGAAATCCCCATCTGACACGTTATATTTCAGGGCATGGCCCTTTTCCTCTTTATTTTGAGAGATTTAAAATAAGCGATTCCAGTTTTTGCACATGCGGAGAGTTAGGCTCTCCGGAGCATTACCTTGAAACATGCCCTCTTACAGAAGGCTTACATATCAAATTCCCTTCGCAAAATCGTCAAGCCTTTTGCAAATTTCTAATCAAGCAGAGGTACTTGATTAATAAAATTAACAAGGTTATGGAAAAGGTTAAAGGTCTTGGAATAGACCTGTGCCAGGTGTAGCATTCATAGGCATAATGTATTGATGCAAAGTACATAATCTTTCGTGGGTAAACTCTGGTTTAATGCTACATTTATAGAGTTTAGTGATATTGTTATAACGGACTGATCTAATGAAATGATCATTGTACTGTATCTTATGCACCACCCCCTATGAAAAACAATATGTTTACTTTGCTTATTAGTTTACCACAGTCTTAATGTACCCTTTCAAATAGTCACTCAGTACAAATTCTATCAAATTTTGTGTTCTCTGAAATGTAAAAGTAAAATATTTCATAAGAAAATTACTGTACCAGTGTAGTGTATTATAGCAAATATGAGGGTACACCATTATTGGTTTTTGTTGTTCCAGAATGCTTACGTTTGTATGAATGATATTACACTCCGAAGGCACATATGGCTGAATTTGTGAAAGCACATTAAGTATGTACTTTTCAATGATTCCTCACGAACTTGATCCTGTATTTGTATGATCCTATATTCCACATTCTACTCCTAATGTGTATGTGTATTATTTTGTATGGCATATTCTATGTATATAGATATATACAGCGCATTATTTATTTACTTATTTTATTTTTATTTTTTATTTATTATTTTTGAAGGTTTTTTATGTATGAATAATATAATAATATTTAATCATATAATTAATTGATACTTAGTATTTTTCATTTTAACCTTTTGCATTTTAGCTGTATAAGCCACCAGCATTATGTTTAATAATCCTGTTTGATTATATCTGTATCATGCATATGTAGGATATTGTATTTTTTTCTTTTTTTTTTTTTTTTAATTTTATTTATTTTTTATTTTATTTTTTTAAGGTTTTTATGCATGAATAATATAATATTATTTAGTCATATAACTTAAATCGATACTTAGTATTTTATATCTTAACTTTTGCATTTTAAAACTTTTTTGCA